CCAGGCACCGTGCAGAGGGACTTAGCAATTATATTTTCAGAAGATGAAGGGTCACTTGCTTCTCCAGCCATTAGTGTTCGGCTTTGTGGACAGAGGTTAAGGGAATGTGGGCATTAGACAGTGGGCAGGCTGTGACCTTTGGGAAGTGGGGTTTCCCCAGAGTTCCCTCTGTGAAGCAGATGAGGGGAGAGGGCAGGGCGTGAAGACTGCCCGCACCAGACCTGGGCTGTTGGAAGGCAGAGAGACTGAGGTGTGGCACCTAGAAGGATGCAGCTCTGGACCCCGAAACCAAGAGGGTGGAAACACACAAGTGGGATCTCAGCAACGGTGGAAATGTAGCCACAAATTTAAGAGGGCCCATTGGCGGGCGCCTGCGTGGCGCCGGCGGTTAAGCTTCCAACTCTTGATTTCAGCTCAGGTCATGATCTCTCAGGGCCCTGGAATCAAGTCCCGCGTTGGGATCCGCCCTCAGTGGGGAGCCTGCTTGAGATTCTCTCTCTCTCTCCGCCTGCCCCTCCCCCTGCTCATGCTCAATCAATCAATCAAATATTTTAAAAATACACAGAAAGGCCCATTGGTTCCTAACTTAGGAATTATGATAGTGTAAAGATTTGCACATCCACAAGCCCCTGGAGCAGGGCCCATCCTAGCAAAGCTGTGCTTGAGTGTCTGGACAGAGGCTATAATGGATATTTTGGTCCAAGAAGCTACTCTCTGAGGATGTGTCAAAACATCACCCCGCTGGGCCCACCCCCACCAAGGTGGCCAGCCCTGCACCAGTAACTTTGCTCCAGGAATTAGATGGATGTTGGACATTGGCCAGGGTTTGTAGGGGCCCAGAACCCCAGCCAGAACTCCCATCAACTCAGCTGCATTCACTAAGAATTAGGTGGCCTTGAGTAATTCCAGAGGCGAGCAGATTTCCTCTGACAGATTTCCACAAAGTGGACTTCTGACACCCTCAGCCTTGCTTGCTGCGGGGCTTAGCGAGACCATCCTGGTTTCACATACGGCTTTCCCTCTCTTCCCAGTGAGGCTTTCTTTTACATAATATTGCCCATCTTGGGGTACTTTGCAGAGTTTTGCCACCTATTTAGCAGAACTTGACTCTATACTAATGAAAGAGCAATCGGGGCCAGACAGTATAGAATGCATACAGTGCGATGTGCATTCACTCATTTCTGAAGATCTGTGAGATGTCTGTTCCTTGCAAGTGCTGAGCTAGATGCCCCCACGATGAGGTGAAAGCAAGGTGAATGATGCAGGCACTGCGTCGTAGTCTGAGGCTACTACTGACCTTCTGAGGATAGGGATCGGTGGCCCTCTAGCAGGATCACCTGCTTCCCGACTGCGGTTGACCACGGGGTAACTGAAACCACGGGAAGCGAAACCGTGGATACGGGGGGGACTACTATACACAATAGCCGGGACTGGACTCCTACCTCTAGGAGCATCCTTCCCACCATCCCCTTCCTGAGCTCACCCCCTCCCACTCCCCCTCTTCTCTCCACTCCGCCTCCCTGAGTGCTCTGTGCTGGCACTCCTGCCTCCAGGCCTTTGCACCTGCTGTTCCTTCTCTCAGGAAGGCTCTTCCCTCAGATCACTACGTGGCTCCCGCTCTCCCTCCCCTCAGGTCTTTACTCCCTGAGCCTTCCTTTGTCCCCTCTCCCCGCCCCACCTTTGCCTGACTTGGGTTTTTCTCTTAAGCAGTTCTCATTATCCAACATGCTGTATATTTACTTATTTATCACTTGAATATAAGCTTCACAGTGGCAGGATGCGCGTCTGTTTGGGCTCCTACTGTTTCCCCTGCACCCAGAACAGTGCTGGGCACATAAAGAATGTTCAGTAAATATTAGTAGAATTCACTGTTGAACGAGTAACAACAGAGGTAATTAAACATGAAATTCGGTCACATTCTGGTCAAGCAATCAGGTGATAGGTAATAACTGATACAGTTCAGTACTGTGCTAAGCGTAGCACAGACTCTTGTCATGATGTTTGTCCTTTAAGGCCTCAGGGGTCCCTGGGACTCATCACCTCCTTCCCCAAGAATTAGCTTTAAGTCTGGGCAAACAGAAGGTGCTCGGCACCGGTCTTTTCTCCCCCTGTGCACACATGTGGTATCCATTAGCAGTGATGGGAACGACAAACCCACATCCAGAAAAGAGGGAAACCCACATGATCAGTGTGCCCCCAGCGCCGAAGAAGTGATGTTTCTGGTTCCAAGACACGTGGCATTAAAATAAAATAAGACTTAAAATACCAATAAATGTTCTTGGTCCTCCAAGAATGCATCAGATTTTCAGCGATCACCTGGAACTAACAGAGGGCCTTACTGTTCTCCAGGTAAGAAAGCGTTTATTCAAACAGTTTTCAGTGAAGAGTTAGCCAATGTAAACACCCAAAGAGCTCCTCTCCTAAAAGGAGATTCAATTAAGCATCAGGGCAATTGGACGGAGACCATGTTGAACACCGAGGTGGCCTGTTTTTCTGGTCATTATTAATCCAGAAACCTTAATGATGCACAACGTTTGTGGTATTGTCTCCCCAAATGTAATTTGTTTATGCAGCAGTTCAGTTAATCCTGCAATCTGTTTTTCTCAAATGAGGGCAGATAATGGAGACACCGTTCTTTACAAGTCTTCAGGCTTTTAAATTCTGATAAAATCAGGATTCTTCACTGGGTCTTGCCCCAGCTCTGAATTAAACCACTTTAAATGTAATTATGGAACCTGGCCTTACATCAGGAACATCCATTTAAAAAATTGATTGGCCAGGCTGTTCCACGAGGCATTTTATGAGCAAACGATTGCAAAGGGGCCAGAACTGTAATTTATAAAGGCAAAAAAGCAGGTAAATACTTTATTAGTGGTAATGAGAGGGTTTCCAGCTAACTGAATCTTTTCTTTCCTCCCTAGCTACTTCATGGAGCCATGGTGCATGGCCCTCTTTCACGATCGTTTTATTGATCTAAGGAAAGAGTTACGCCAGATCTTGACCTCCAAGGAGGTAAGAGTGATTAATAGATATGTGAGTTAGTCCTTGAAAATTACAAGCAGTTTATAGTCGTTGATCATTTAGACTTTTCTCTACATTCCCCTTTTTGGTTTTACTTTCAAAACCAACTATACTTCCTATAAACACACTATGGAGTATTCGAACACAGACAGTGATATTTCAGGAAAAGTGGATTATTTAAATCCTTTTATGAGAGGCAGATTTCTCTTTCCTTTTTACACATAACTGTATTTCCATTATCAGCTAACAGGCAGTGTCGACTGGAAACTGGATCTGAGCTTTATCTTGTTCTCAAGAATGAACATTGCATTCCTTTAGTTTCTGCCCATACTTGCCAGCCATTCACTAAACATGTGTGTGTGCGCGCGCACGCATGCATGCACGCGTGTGTTGCTACAAAAATGTAAAGGGAAGACATAAGCTGTCCAAACACACCCCTTTAATAACCAAAACTTCTTTCTCAAAGTGATAATTAACTGGAAGTTAGGCTACATTTCCCAAAGTCTGCATGCTCAGCAAGAAATTTGACTGTGCAATGTAAATAGTGAAATATTTGTGAAACTTTAAATTAAATTCTTTCATTCAACACTAGAGTCCTTACCGGAGCTGTGGAACGTTAGCATCTATGCTCAAAAAGTGGTCAGATATCCATCCTAGATTCTCCCTTGCTCCACTCAGACAAGGGCTGGGACACAACTTAGCTTCACTGTGTTTTTCTGTCTAAATGGTCAAGTCCTGTGACTCTGTTATCACTTCCACTTGAGAGCACCTGTGCCCCTCGAAAGTTCCCATGGTGTGGGCCGCCATATTGGGTAGCCCAGATACAGATCCTGTGCTGAGTCCCTACTGCATGCACCACCTCGCTTAGCCATAACAAGAGCCATTTAGGACACACTACTGTCATAGTTTTGACTTTACCAATGAGGGGGCTAAAGCCGAAAGATTTTAAAGGACCTGTCATGGGTTACACAGCTAGTCTGTGGCCAGCAAGCTTCAAACTCAAGGATCTCTCGCTCTGAAGCCAGGAACATAGGCACTGAGCCATATGGACTAAACTGCGTGGCTTGGTACCTTCTCTTCATAGTTTGCCCCCTTTTCAGTTTTATGCCTGGGGTCCAAGATGGGAAATTGAAATAATTGTACTAATCTGAAGCAGGTTCAGATTGGGAAAACCAGGTTTAAAATATAAACCAAACTCAGTTGTCTTTAGGGTCCACACAGATAGGAACCAGGCAGGTAAATGTACATGAGGGTGGCAGAAGGGACTGTGACCATGCAAGGGTCATCCACTGCTAAAGTCACTCAAATTTGAATAAATGCTACAGGTCAAACAGGTCCTTGCACTTCATGCTAAAACTGTGAGGGAGTCAGCTCAGGTTGAAACACGAGCTCGAGTTGTAAGCCTGGTGCTTACTGCATTTCACTCAATTCCTTAGGTCCCTCTCTTCCTCTCAAATGTATTCTGCAGCTCATTACTGCATCATAGTGAAGACTTACCAGTTTTCTAGTTATCCCATCAAAACTCTGTGCCTAAATCCTTCTAAACCCCAGAATCGAGCTCCTCAGTTAATATTTCACACAGAGCCAAGGGGGTTTAGGCGCCAAGCTTAAAAGGGAAGCTTTCCTCTCACCCTTCCAAGTAAACTACCAAGCCCAACAATAGTCACTTTTCATGGCCTTCACTGAGACACCCTCAACCTTTTATCCAGGAACAGCCATCTGCTCTGGGTCAGTTTGTTATGTGTGAAGTCAGCATGGACAACAGGCCCTTTCAGTAGACCAGAAGGGACCATGAACATTTGTGGAAGACACACTAAGGGCTCCCCCACCATTCTTGTGGTTTTTCTAGATTTCCAGAAAGTGAAACCTCTGGAAGAAAAGCCTCCACTGGGGGCTTGTGCTCTGTTCTACATTTCCATTTGTCAAGTAGGCAAGGCCACAGGAAGAGGTGGTGCATGCAGGGGTGTCTGCCTCTAGCTCAGATCCCTGTGGAGCAGGGATGACCTGTTCCCATCTCAGAGAGCTGTGGGAGGAGTGAGGGAGGAAATGTGTGCAAGTAAAAGGCACGGAAGAACATCTCCCAGGAAGTGCTGGCCCCCACAAGTAACGGTGGTGGAGACTGGCTGGCAGTGGAAACAGTACTTGTACAAGCAGACATGCAGGAGTTCATTTAAGAGTCTGGCAATAGGAAAATAAAGAGATAGCCTTCACTAAAGAATAATGGTAATTCTTTTTCTCAAAGATTGAGATGATGTAACCCATTTCATTTCACTTTCTAGCTTGTCTTTAGGAAAGTACAGCAGTCCAGTCCCATTAACTATGATATCCTATAACTCTCCCTCCACATGAAGAGGAAGGAATAAAAGACTATTATCTTTGTTATTATAAGCCATCTCAAATTTATGTATCATTTATTTTAAAAACAAGCCCATTGTAAGACTTCACAAGTCCTTTGGTGGAAGTAAAGAGGAACATACTATAAATCCATTGGCACTGCATTTAGCTGTGCCTTAAGCCAAAGAGTAACTGACCAAAGTGATATTTTGTATGGTTAAGATCATTCTTCAAAAAGATAATAATTATATTGCAGGAAACAAACAGGGTTGCTGGAGTGGGGGGTGGGGTGGGAGGGATGGGGTGACTGGGTGATAAACACTGGGGAGGGTATGTGCTCTGGTAAG